AGCCCAATTATTAGATAAAATGATGGATTTGATCTCCTTTCAAAGGGGGTTATAAAAGGGTCCTTTTATTCCATCCTGTTTCTGCAGTCATCTGACAGAAGCAGGCTGGTGCATTAATTATGATAGATTCTGTTTTGAGGGCCTTCAAGATGATCATTCCCAGAATTCCACACATAGGGTGTGACCTTTTGACCTGTCTCAGGCCACACGGTGAATATAATCTATAAGCAGATTTTGCAGGAAGAATGACCACTGGCTGGAGCAGAGCTGGGCCTATTTGCAGGACAAACACAGTTTGTCACACAGGCGCTGAGGCCAGGACTATAATCCCTTTCTTCAGTCTTCAATATCCAGTCCATGTAAAGGGGTGTAAAATATGCAAATCTGGTTGAAACCTAATGAAATACAATCTCATTTCTCAACAAGCAGTAAAGAAAAAAAAGAAAGTTTCATTGATAGCTTCTCAGCATAACTGTGGGAACTATTGCTAGTCTTTGAACTCAGAAAGGTTCAATCTCATGTCCTTGTCCCTTGTATCTGAATAATGAAGCTTAAATTGCTGCCCAAAGCTTTTTTTTTCATAGTAAAAATAGTCAGTTAGGTCTCCATATGTTTGAACTGAGCTGTATATAATAATAATATAGTACCTCAATACTCACTGTTCTTAAGAATAGTTTATATTTGTAAGTTTGCAATGGAACAAATTTGATTATTTAATGGTCCTGTGAAGGAATTATTATTTGTTAACCAGATTCTAGTCTCTATCACCATCCCCCATTGTGATTGATTATGTTTTTCCACAAATTGGTCAAGATCCAAACTGCGCAAACACTTGCATTCTGACATGTGAGGACTGTGCAGGTAAATTCACACAGTTCACTCCTGCATTCCTCAAGCACTGTAACAGACTTTACAAGCTGCAGCGATAATCCCAAACTTTATAGCTCCTAAAACAAATGTTGGACTTTCATCAAATTAAATAACCCCTGCTGGTACCGGTAAGGCTGAGACTTAGCAGGTCAGCACAGAGAATTTAACTTTTCCGGTGAACATGGGAGAGAAGTGGAGAGAGACAGAGCTACAGTGGAACTGTGTACGCAGCACTAAAGCATGAATTAGTATTCAATTACAAATTGTAAATTTGGAAATTCATGGACATTTGACCTGGAAAGGTCAACATAAGAGGAATATCCCAAAGCTGCATGACTCTCAAAAGTGAGGGGATAGCAGTATATACTCCTATAAAATGAGAAGCATGAATTTGTGCTGAGGCACATTAGCCTCGCTTAAAGGTTACATCAGTTCTTGTTTTACATATTGCAGATTATTCTGTCCGGAAAAGTTTTGAACCAATTCTAAGGACTAAAAGCCAGGACTGGGATCAGAGTTTGTCCTGTGAAGATGTCATCCTGAGAATTTTGTGCATCCAGGGGGATCTTTTACTTCTGGTTCAAAAAGAGAACACATTGTTGTCCTGTTTCAAACCATCCTCCCTCCCCCGACTCACTATTTGTCCAGATCAAGGCTTTCATTAAAATACCTGTGTTCAAACATTCAATATCCAAGGTCATGCTGTTTTCCGTGAAAACCCAGAAAAAAAAAGATTGCTCACCGTTATGTAAACTTCAGTCGTTATTTGTATTTTTTAAAATTTCGATTTGAAAAAGAAGAGGAAAGGGTGAGTCTGACCATTGGAGGGTGGGAGGCTGGCTCCTGGCGTTCAGCCCCCCATAACCTTTCCTGCCTAGAACTCAGATGCCTTCGCTTGGCACTCTTTTCTCTTTTGTGGGTAAAAATGTTTATGACAGACCCCTTTGTCCTACTTTGAGCAGTTTATTAACCTTCCTGGTAGATTATTTAATGGAAGAGCATGCTGTCAGGCTGGACTGGCAGTGGGTCCTGTTTTGAGGGATCTGGAGCCCAGTGGAGGAGAATTCTCCACATGCTTGTGGTCACCTGCTGCATGCCCTCATTGTTAATAAGGCCTGACACACAGATTCGGAATTTAAGAATAACCTGAGCACATATTGCATAGAGAACAGAATAATAAAAGAACTACTAGTAAGTTATATCACTATATAATATAGTGTGTATTTATCTATGTACAGTATATGTGGAACTGGATGGAGAACTTAACATTGTCATTTGTGACATTTACAGCTTTTATTATGTTAAAATCAAAAGTGCTTGATCTTTCTGAGATCAGGACAAAATGATTACCAGGCTGTTTTATTTTTAGTCTTTTCCGGACTGAAAAAAAAAACTCACTTGGACAGTGGTGAAATTATTTACACTTGAAGACAGGGTGGGCAGGGGTGTTAGTCACAAAAGTTAACATAAAGGTCAAGACCTGTATTCTGATATAGTTAAGAAATTAGTCCAATTTACAGATAATACCAAATTAGGAGGATTGGCAAACATTGCTGAAGCCACAAAATACATTAAAAAAAGATTTAGGTGAATTTTAAAACCTGGCAGATGACACACTTTTATGCTGAAAGCAAGTTTAAATGTAGACAAATTCAAGTTTTTGCCTGCAGGAAGTAAGATATATAAGCTATAAATACAAAGTGGGAAACACTGAGCTTAAAGAGGCTGTTAACGAAAAAGATTTACAGTAGGTGTTGATGCTGAGATATCAATTACATCTTCTAGATAATGTGGGGGATCAATTGCAAAGGCAGAAAATGTTCACTTATATAGTTAAAAGAGGAGAGTTTAAAGCAAAGACTAATATTTTAGAATTGTGTAGCCTAGTATGGTCTCATTTAAGAATATTGTATACAATTGTGGTCACTGTGTTATAGTAAAGATGTTGCTGCTGTGGAATAAGTGCAGAGAAGGGCCACCAGATACATTCCAGAGCTCAAGGGACTATCCCACACTGACAGGATAAAGGACATCAACTTTTCCACTCCTGTCCAGAGAAGACTATGAGAGGACCTGATAACAAGCACTCAAAATCTTCAAAGGTAACCAAATTGATTTTTTCAGAATGAACACAGAAACACTAACCAGGGGGCACAAGAGGAAACTACGTGAAAGTGCATGGAAAAGTGAGAATAGGAAGCACTTCTTTGCCCAAAGAGTAGTGGGTGCATGAAACTTGCTGAAGCTTATAACCTGGCCTCTTTCATAAATGTTCTGCATTAAACCCTTGGATCAACCACTCAATTGAGTGACCAAATAGGCCAGATTGGCAGAATCTCTCATTTGTAACTGTTCTCATGCTCTTATGTAAAAACAGATGGAAGAAGGGCCTTATTTTGGCAACATGATGCAGTGTAATTATGTTGTAATTGCTAATGCTTAATTGAAGTGCGTACCAGCGATAGAGAAAAACTCCTTATCGAGACAGCTCCTCTGAGGATGGTGAGACTCATTAAGTTTGCCTGGTTAAAAAGAGCAGCTAGGAGCTGATCATCTCCTCAGTGATCGTGGGACCGGAGAATTTATCACTACCAGATCGCAGTCGCCACTCAGAAATGTATTAAATACTTGTTGGTATTTCCTGACGACCAATTACCAGTCCTCAAATACCAGTACTGGTTTTTATTCTTTTCCCTGTCTGTGATATGTTTCTAAAATAGCTGCATCATGTCATGTCATGTTGGAAGCTTGCATACTGTCTCTGTGAAATTCTAGCTTTCCGATGCTAGATTTAAACAGGGAAAAACAGCGTTTTTTTTAAACTGTCTACAATAATATGTAATATGATTGGTATTCAGTATTTATTAAATAAATTATGCTGAAACATGAAAATATTTGATGTTTAAAAGAATTCCTTGCAACAAATGCAACATTCCAAATATTGCAGGTGGGTAGCTGCGTCAGCATGCATAGGCTGCAAAGGAACAAGTAATAGGTTTATTCCATGCTGAAAAAAAGAAGAAAGAAAACACAACGTTTCGGCCGTGGAGCCTTCTTCAGCTGAAGAAGCTGAAGAACCCACCTGAAGAAGGCTCCACGGCTGAAACGTTGTGTTTTCTTTCTTTTTTTTTTCAGCAGGGAATAAACCTATTACTTGTTCCTTTGCATTCCAAATATTGCTGCCAGTTTGTTTCCATTTTTTCTGCATATAATAAGAGCAGGAGACAAAATCAATGTTTCCAAAGCAGCCTTTTGCTTTTCTGAATTCACAAGTCAGCCTGTTCTTTTCTGTGATAAAGAAGAACAACACTATGACAGAAAAAGGGTCATACTGTTTTTCCCAAGCATTTCTTAAATTCATTCTGTACATAACTTACTTAATTGCATTCTTTCTTTGGTTGCTTTCTTTAATCCATTCCCACAACAGGGCACTGATGGTTTCTTCTTGTCAGTGCATAAAAAAAAAACATTTTTCATAGTCAACATTGTGTGCATGGGTTTTCCTTTTTTTACAGCCAAAACATACAGGAACATCAAGTTCTGTATGAGGATGCATCTCAGAAAAAATGTCCTGTACACAAGCACAGGGCATTCAGCGATTACAAAGAAAAAAATAGCCGAGGAACTGGAATAATCTGGAGTGGTGAAGGAATGGAGGGCACAGGAGAGCCCCCATGAAGCAGAGCTGATTAATTCAGACGAAAATTATTCCGTGCAGTGATTCTACAAATGCATAAGCACTTGGGCATGTTTAGCACAAATTTAATTACGGCTCTTGGTAAGCGGCCTGCTTTTTTTAAAGAGCTCTCTCTCCCTGCCTCCCTCTCCCTCACCCTCTTCAATGCCTGGTGATGTAATGTTCTATTGTAAAGCCTTAGAAACTCTTCAAATCAACTGCCAGTCATGACCTTGCCCTCCGCAAGCTTTTTTCTTCTTCTTTCTTCTATTTTTTTCCTCATAACCGAAACCCCTGTATGGATCCTCCTGACTTCATCATTTGTCTTTTGTTCCTTTTTTATGGGGGGTGGGGGTGGGGGGGGGTGAGGACGACTGTGAAATATTTGCTTTATTTCTGTCTTTCCAATCTTACTTTATGTAGGAAGGGGTAAAAGACACAACACAATGTTGTAATAACAATAGTTTCAAGAGTTTATAACTGTCGTGAGGCATGTCAGCTTAACTCCTTCCTCTCTTGCTCATCGCGTTTGAAACTTCCACAGAGCGTAGAGTTTACTCAGTTCATACAAAGTTTTGTACTTTGTGCGTCAGAGTTTTTCAGATTTCAAACAAAAAAACAAAAAAAAACACCATAAATTAACTGGTTTATTGGTGATTGACGTGAGTAGCCACATGTGATAGCAAGTGCCCTTATCAACGGTAGGGGTTAACTTATGGAGGCCAGCTTGTATCTTTGAAGTTATTCTAAAGGGCCAGTTCTGTTACAGCAGGCAGCTCTCTGAAGCTGTGGCTCAAGGTCCCAAAGTACAGGAATTAAAACATTTTTCCCACCTCCTGCACTGACAGGAACGTACTAAATCGCTCTGGCAAAAAAGAGATAATCGCTAGGTCTCCTCCACTGATGAGTTTTTTTTTTAGTTCAAACATGACGAATTAAAAGAACAATAGACGGAAAGCACATTACAGCAAACGAATAACTTTGCATTGATGCATGGAAGTGTATCTCAGCTTGAGTTGTTTGAAATTTGGCAACTACTCTCTTTGCTGGGGGAAAGAGAAAAGAACGAAAGAAGAAAGGGACTGAGAGAGGGGGTGGGGTCGGTGGAGTAAGACAGCTACAAGACAATTGTGCGGGTTCTGTTTTGGACCGATTTCCCCGAGACTGCTGATCTGACATGACGGTCATGAGCAAACAGTCTCCAGTTCATACAGTAAGTGCACCAGAAAATAGCTGATTTTTCTTTTTTAGTTTAAGCAAAAGAAGATGTGTGACTGAACAAGAAGGGGTGTTTGTGTGTGTGTGTGTGTGTGTGTTGGGGGGGGGGGATTGAAAACAATTATACTCCATAAGCAACACAACTAAAATTCATTTGTGTAAGTAAGTTGTGTTCCCCTACTGCGGAATTTTCAATTATGTATATCTAATTATGCCTGTCAAGAGTGTGAATTGAAAGAAAGGCATTCTTTGTCCCCTCTACCCTTCTTTCAGTGTTTCCTTCGTCATCTCCTCTGTCCCACTGATTATAGCACACTTATACAACTAATTGCCTTACTGCTTATTAGTGATACAATTATGCAGGCCTGCGGATTCTTGTGTGAACAGCCATCTGTGGAGAAGTGACACTATTCAAAACTATCCATAATTTAAACCAACGTTATTCTGACGCGCTGAGCGCAGACAATTGTACGGCCTTCATATTTCATACCCACCCTGGCCGGAGAGAGGTGTTTTTGTTTTGTTTTTTTGTTCGGAGGCTCACCTCTAGCCCTGCTGGGAAGTGTAAAGCAGGGGAGTGCCTCCAATCCTGTTTAAGAACAGACGTAGCGAAGCATGCTTAATGCTGACTTCCCCCCAGCCCACGGGTCATTTTTCTTTCAATTTTTTTGTTTTTGGATGGCAGTGGATAATTTTTGATTTCCCCTTGTTCAGGAAAAGACCACACACAAACCTTATTCTGTCTTTTCTTCCTTTTCAGTAAGCCTTAGTGGGTATCCACTAGTTAAGGTTTATTAGGGGGGAGTTCAAAACTGTGACGGAAGCACGTCAATAATGGCATCCAGAAATCGTCAACAAAAACATGGATCTTTTTTTTGGCAGTGTTGTAATCATGACTGAGTATGTTAGAACTGGGATGAAACTTGGAGATACCAGTGAGATCGTGCTGTATGCTGTGTTCACAGGTACTACAGAAGCACATGTCAGCTTTGCAGGAAGCTAGAGAATACATGCAGCATCTCTTCACCTGAGGAGAAGACTTTTCTACCCTGATCAAAGTGATTCTGCAGTCTGCCTTGAGGGTCCAGCTGGAACCTTCCATTCAGCATATTTCTGGGTGAGTCACATCTCATTCTCATGGTGTGTTCTCAGGAATGGAGGATGGGAGAGGATAGCTTATTTCAGGTTATACAATAGCTATAGTTTGCCCATTACACATGCACACACTCACAAGCGCAAACCACAATGTTAATGGCTTGAATGGAGTGGTGCAAGTCTTCTATATGTTGTCAAATAACTTGTGATTTTTGCCAAAGGGAACAGCTTCTGGAATGTGGCATCATCTGGCCAAAAGTATTCAATTCAATCTATTTTTATATAGCACCTTTCAGAACAAGGTTGCCCTAAGGTGCATAAAAAATATCCCTGCACCCAAAAAGATTCTCAGGCAGAGTTCAGCCACAAAATGCATAGTTTGCTTTGACCAAAATTACCATCTGAAAATATCATGGTAAAAAAACGTGTGGGTCTGAATAAGAATATGCAAATAGCATAGGATCCTGGCAAGAGTTGTTTTAATGTGTGGCAAAATCTAATGAAATTAGATACTTAGTTTTAATAGATCAAAATAGAAGATGTTGTGCTGGAGTGTAAAACTCACATACTGCATTAATTAAATCTTAAGTGAATGTATAAGAATTAGCAGTTAGATATATTTAGTTTATAAGCAGGGGTTGTAATGTATTGTACCCAGTTCTTGGTTGAGTTACTGTTCTAAATATTTTTACAAAGTAATCCTAGTAAACTTTTTAAAATAAATTCTATACACTTCTGTCAGTTTAAGTAAAAGGTTTAGAAATGTTTTGAATATTCTTTGTGATTTTTAGGTAATTGTTTTCCAAAATCTACAATATTCAAATGAAGCTAATTATGTATACAAATACTTTTTAGTGACATAATCTTTATTTAAATTAAGCTTCATATGTGCTGGAAATGAGTTTGAAAATGCCTGTTTGGGAACGTGGCGTCAGACGACTCAGTCAAAGCACACGAGTTTCATGACTATGTCATTTTTCACCTGCTCTGTTTGAATTCTTGCATCGATAAATACAGAGATCTTGTTCTTGCTGCTCAACAGACACCCAATAGTCAGCTACAATCAAGCAGATTACGGGAATGCAAACAGGAAGGCTTGACGTCTTTTTGTTGAGCAGTTAACCTCTATCAGGACTTTTTACAGACCCTACCAATCACGTCATCGAAGTTGAGAAAATACAAATGTTTCTGCTGCAATACATGGTAAAACTCGCAAGCAAGAAATAAACAGGAGCTTAGACCACCACTAACAGCAGAATGGTGGGCTCTGACCTCGTCTGTCTGTACATATGTAGGCCTCATGTTTGGAGGCCGAACTCCTGCAGTTTATTTAGCTTGAACAGAGTGCGGCATTTATTCCTTCATGGGTCAAACTTTCAATATTGGTGAGGAAGAGCTCTTCTGTGCTACCAAAAACAAGACCATTACCGGAGCACGGCTGCTGAATTTATTTTCCCCGGAAATCAGCGAGGCTGTATCAGTCATGTCGCTGTAATTGGTCGGGAAACAGAGAGCAGCCTGTGTCTGGGCTTCCCGGCTCTCTCCGCATCTGCTGAACACATGCAGGGAAGGATGGGCCTGGAAACCAGCACTGGCAGAGGGGAAGCCCTAGAATCGCCATCACACTCACATCAAAATCGGATGTTTTGCTAAGAGCAGAAACCAGCCCTCCACTTTTATGTTGTTTGTTTTGCTTCTGGTGTGCTTCAAATTCCAGCTGCATTTGTCAGCTTGTAACGACAGGTTCCTTACCTGATTTGTCACGGGACACAATTTGAGAGAATTTACTGGGAGAAAACATCACTGCGGTTAATCTTACTGTTTCATGTATCTGATTGTCAAACTGCCTCAGCATGCACTGTGCCGTGTGCCATGCCTCTCAGTGTGCGGAACAGAAACTTTCCACACACAAATGTAATGTTCCCAAGTATACAAATGACAAATCTGACTACGTCCCTGACTTCTATGTGCAATGGTCCACTGTACAACCCCTCTCCTAATTTTCTGTCACATGGGCTTTCCCCCCTCCTGTTTCCATTACCTGGGCTCTTTTTCTTTTTTGTTGTTCTCGCTGTGTTTTTATAGAGATGACAGGGCCCCCGAAGTGATGCCTGACTCAAGCAGCTAGTGTCAGGTCAGGAACGTTTTTGGTGTCTCTAACTTCAGAAATTGGCAGATCTTCAGCAAACTGAGATGCTTTCAAGATTACAGGGAACTTCAGTGAGCAATGAAAGTTCAGGCAGGAGCAGATGAACATTTTCACCTTGATGCTCGATCGAGCATCCTGGCTGCTCAGAGCAGGCCGCCATCAAGGCCAGGCATGGCTAAAACCACTGCCCTGATACCACGGGCTTGGGTGTTGTTTTTCCATTTACCTTTTTTCCAAAGGAGAAACAGCAGCTTCTGGAGTTCAGTGACTCCAGAGAAGAATTGCTTTTTTTGTGTTGATCAATTTCGAATTTCCCCAATCCTTGCAAAAACAAAACTACACATTTTTGCACCTGGGTATGGGAGACACATTATACAAATGGTCATCACTGGTGTAATGATGTCATTGTAGTTTTCACTGTAAAAATACGCTGTTACAAAACTAATTGAATCAAACAGAGTCAGCAGGAAAACTCCATATACAAATTTCGATTATTTCTTTATTATGGACTGTGGCATGAAATCTGACTCTGAAATTTGATATGAAATCTAATAAGTGCCTCTTGTATAACAGTGTAACAGAATTTCAAAAAATGCACACCATCTGAATGTGCAATTTAAAATGAAATGCAAAGGCTTATTCCCTTGTATTGTATTTTCAAATTCTGTGTGTCGTACCCAGCCATGCACTTCTTGCTCTTACTAATAATGTAACCTCTAAATCTTAATTATTCGATGGTGTCAGGTCTCTCTGAGGTAATTATGAAAGGTGGGCTCATCAATCAGTTTCAGCTGTGTCAATGATGTCCAGGCAGTGACAGGTCTGAGGGTGTCAGAGCTGTAGGTGAAGGGGGGCAGCTTGGAGGTTTAAGTCTGAGTATGAGGCTGTGCACGGATGTCTTAGAGTGACGCTAGATCATTCCTCTTTCATCTCTTCTCTGGAGATGCTTAGCTTTGTTGTTTTTTGTCCTCTTAACTGTCAGTTAACATTAACAAAAAAGAAACCCTTATATGTGTCAGAAGCGCTAGTTCTGCCATTATTTTCGTTCCTGGCGGGGGTCAAAGTGTGTAATAGTTTATAAACCGAGTGTTCCTCTTACCTCCTCGAGTCCACAGAATGAGTGTGAATGGTGATATGTGCTCAGTCTTCGTGGATTGGCTTTAAAACTCCCCTCTGCGGAGTTCCTGCCATGTGTGGCTTGCTGGGATAGACCCCCGCTCCCCCGTGATCCTGTGTTGGGTGAGGTTGTCAGAAAATGGGTGGGTGAAGGGATGGATGTCCGCAGGGTGTAGGCCTCTCCGGTACTCCCAGCTTTAGCAGAGATGTCAGAGTGCATGTGTAAAACTGACATTTTTACTTCAGCTTCTCACGGATCAAATGTAGTGTTTTATGGATTTTAACTGTCGGCGTACATCTGCTTTCCTTTCTGCTCTCATTCAGAACCGCGATCAAAAATGCAATTAAGGCACCTTGCCCGCTTCAAAAACCCCAAAAGGAAATAGTTCAAGCTACTTTCAGAACTCATGGATCACATTTTATCACTCATGTATCTGAACCTACATTAGAAACATACTTCAAAAATCTTATTGCCAGCGAATCAAGTTGGATTTTGTGATATTTTATGATCGATATGAGGGAATCATTTTACCTGGGTAGAACAGACTTCCTATACAGGAGACTACACATGGATTGCAGCATCTCAGGATCTGTCATCTAATTGAACTTTATCCACAGCAAAACAATTTGTTCCCTGCAGAAAGGAGACATTTGCACAATCATGGCACCTGAACCTCTCATGAGATGAACAGCTCCTGGAATTGTGTTGGATTGAGAGTTGAGTCTCCTTTAGAATAGCGTCTTCTGCCTAGCCAGTTTCTTCCCAGAAAGGAACAAGGTTTGGGAAATAAGGTGTACAGTTATTTTGTCTTTACCCATTTTAAACTAATTCCAAGCGGTAATGGTTGTCTTCAAGTTTAGCATTAGAACTGGGCAATCAGATGAGTTTTCTAATATAACCCTATCCCATGCATTTTAAGTGTTCAGCTCCATGGCTAAGCAAAATCAAAGGAGCGAAAGGGTGTTTCGGTTTCACGTGTGCACCATTGCGCTCTGTTTGTGCACCTATATTCTTCTTCCCCCTGTTTCCACCGTCTTCACCAGGAAGCGAATTCCAGGGTGGTTTCCCAGATTACAGAGGTCAGAAGCGACGAGAGCCAGAATGCCGTGCAAGGGAATAAAAAATAAAAAAAAAACCAAATCGCATTCAGTTTCCATTTTAATATGTGGCAAATTGACGCATTCTCTCACTGGAAAGAAGAAAAAAAGGGTGAAAGCGTCATGACAGAGCAGAGAAAAAGAAATTGTAAAGGGGGAGAAACACGGATCGGTCTGCGGATAAGGAGGGGTCTGTTTACGTTCCAGCTTCACACTTCCGCGGATTAACACATTTGGAAATTCTAACACTCTGCGTCTGACATCTTTGTGAGGGAAGAAAAGAAAGGAACCTTTGACAACTACATTTTTCACATGATCAGGGTGAAAGAATCAGCTTTTGAAAAGCAGTGAAGCCCAGGAAAATTGTTTGTTGACCACACAACAACCATCGCATTGCGGCTGTCAACTCTGGCTCTGGTTTGCCGAATTCCTTTGGGAAACAGATTAATAGTTCATTTTCATTGCAGTTGTATAGAAAACTGGGTTTCCCATTAAGTCACGAAAATATACCTCTTGTCAGCTTAATTTTGCATTGTGCAGCCCAAATAAAGAATACATTTTTCCCACCTATTAATATGCCTTGCTAGACCTTCCAAAACTCAGCAGTCATTCTGTGCACGACTACCCCAAATGCAAATCATGGCTTTTGATAAAGACTGGAGTGTGTTCCTTTCCATCAGTCTTAACCCCAGTCTAGGCTGTGCATAACTTCACCAGAAATAGACTGAAGGGTAGGCACAGAAACGAGATGGAAGGTCTCTAGTTTTCTTACTTGTTTAAATTCATTTCGAAATGACTCATCTACTGAAGCAAGCATTGAAAAATTCACAGACGTTATATGCTCGACAACGACTTGTGTTTAGTGGATTTTTTTTCCCATTACAGGTGAATATGAGTGTTCAGTGGTTACTACACCCATTGAATATGAGTGTAGTGTTTGGAATTAGGTTGTTTTATTCTCTTGTGCATCACGGAGACTTCCTTGTTTGGCATTTACAAGCACGCCTGTTCAGCTGTACTCTTTAAGTGAAGCACGCAAACAGCCAGCAGTCACAGCTCCCACAGAGGAGACAAGAGGCAGACAGGTGAAGCCAGGGCTGTCCCCTCCTGCTCATGGGGGGCTGGTGTGTCTGCTGGGTTTCCAGGTCTCTTATCAGCAGCAGCACCAGAACAGCTGGGAGAGCCTGCTAAATCTTCCTGGTTAAACCAGTAACCAGCTGGTTTAGTGCATGAAGAGCTGAGTTGGAATGAAAACCCACAGACAAGCCGGCCTCCTGGGACAGCCCTGATAACGTCTTCAAAATCCTTACAATGGGTGTTTTTGACTTGTTTCGTTTCTTCCCACAAGTTACTTTTAACAAGGGCAAAGATTTTGCCCCCAACGTTCCTCAAATTGCGGATCAGCAGACACCTTACAATGTGACGTTTCTTCACATTTGTGCATGTCGGAGTGTGGGAAGTCATCGGTGGTTAACACTGGCCTACCTTAGGTGAATAGTAAAAAAAAACATCAATTTAATATCAAAATCAGCTCCCAGTATTCAGGCACAGCTGTTACAGTGTGGATAGCCCATGTGATTGACTGACCAAGACTGTTTCCCTCCATCCATTTTCTAAACCACTTTGTCCAATACAGGCCAAGGCTGTATTAATTCCTGATTTCAATGGATTTCCTATTCTGCTTTGTCACCCGGATGTATATAAAAGTGCACCGTGTCCCCACGCTATTCCGCAGCGAGGTCCGGCCCCGAGAGAACTGCGTACCTGTCGCACCTGCACCGACAGCACGGCAGCACTGGCACGGATCTGCACGCTGTGGCCATAAATCAGAACTCGAACAAGTGTACAATTGCGCTGCGGTTTGTGCGTTACTGTGCTTATCCCAGAGAAAACCGCGAGCCGCGCTATAAATCAAAGGGAACATCGCTGGTTCCTGGGATCTCCGCAAACTGCCCGGGGTTTTATTTATGTATCGCGGCGGTTGTCTTCGAGTCTTCGTGACGCGTAATTCTTCATCAGCAATGATAATTTCTCTAGGATGAACTTGTTGCGCAAAACGCTGAGTATTGATTTGGAAATGATTTTTTTCTCTCGTTTTTTTTTTTTGCAGTGTAAAGGATGCATTTAATTAGCCCTGTCTCCGGGGGGGAGAAGTGGGGATTTTGAGACTCGCAGCAGATTTCAATAACATCTGTGTCTTATTATTGGCCCTGCACTTGCCTTTATTACTTACATGGTATGATTAAGATTCACTCGTTGTTGTTTTTTTGAAGCCACTGTATCATTTAGGTCATCTTCTCTTTTCTGTTTAAGGTACAGAAACACTATTCGAGCACTTCAGGAATGCCTCCAGGATCAAAGCGATCAAGATTCCCGGGTAATACAAATATTATTTAATGCGTGTCTTTAAACTTGCGTTTCTTAATCCAGCGTAAAAGTGACCCTTTTCCTAAAATATATGTTTTCATGGTTCTTAAGCTGCAGATTTTATCTCGAGAGGGCCTTCCCTGCATATAACGTTTTCCACAATAACGTCTTGATTTATGTGTAACAACATGTAACTAAATTGTAAATACAGTGCGATTAGATGCACCGTGTCAAAAATAAATACATTTCTCGTCGACTCGCGGACGTTTGGTTTTAATGGATATCAGCTGGATTGATGTGAAACAACAACGTATGCTGTATTATTGATCAGGCTCTGAAGACAGCAAATGCTTCAAACACCTGTGCTTTTAATGGCATGCTTACTTTTCATGGGCACGCAAATAAATCATGGAATATTAGCCCCGAGAGTGAAGCGCAGCATTTTATCACATTTTATATTGTATTAATAATGTCAGCCTCGCTGGGAAACGGGCTCAGGCGCATTCATCACACGTCTGAAGTCGCGTGCGGACGAGATGACAGGCACTTCCGATGTTTCTCGACGGAAGAGGGATCTTCTGACTTTTCTGCTGTCCGGCGTTAGATTCTGGCCTTCGTGATCTATACAAAACATCCATCTGCCGTGTCTTTTAAGTCCTTTTTTCTCCGATAGCCTTTAACTGCAAGTAGGTGGTAAACCTGCTGCAGGGCTTAGTAAGGTCAGTTTCACTCAGCCTGAGGATCAACGTAGTGAAAATGTGTGTTTGTCTATGATAAATACTTCAAAGGAACAGAATCCCTAAGTAAACGGTGATTTCGCTGGGAACATCTCCACAAAGAAAGCTTGTAATAAAAAGGCCCACTGCCTAAAAACGTTCATGCTGCTGAGAATACAAAGTTTATTAACACTTTGTGTCCATTTTTAAAACCGTATGATTTACTTTGTATGTCATGTGCTTTGAGCACATACATACGGTGTCTCTGCTTCAGCCTGTTGAGGGCTGGATTGATTTAGACAGAAGGGACCAGCAGGTTATGGGGACGCAGAGTCACCTAGAGACCCCATCCTTCTCCTTAAAAGCCTCACTAGGAACGAGAGATAAACTTGATGAGAAGCCATGTCTTCATATACAGAACTGGTGACTAACCTGCAAACAGCTGATGGGATTAAAGGCAGTCTTTATTGAAGACAAGCCCCTGTGCTGATTCTGTAGTACTGTGTACATCTGTAGTTTGTGTTCATCCGTGAAGATGGAGTGCAATGTGGCTGGAAGATACAGACCTCGTTTTGGCAACTAGACACTGCCTGGAAGTCAAAGCCCCCCCCCACCCCCTTTTTTTTTCCTTTTCGATAAAAGCTTTTCAAATTTATTGTGCATTTGCCTTCAAATCAAAACGTTAATGCAACATAAACATATCATTTTACTTGTACAACAGGCAGTGCCACTATAGCTGTACAATTATCTAAACATTTCAGAGCGATAGCATGTAATTCACAAGCACTGATCCCAACAGGCACTTAAAGACTTTGACCTCTTGCACTCTCTGCAATGTGGTTAATACAGATTACAATAGTTTGACTAGAGCGAACCTTTACACAGCTGTTCAGAACACTCCTTCTCCCTTTAGTATAAGCTGTAATTTACTAGGCAGGGAAGCCTGGTTCCCTGGAAGCTTTTAAGTAAAGTCAATATAAATCGGAAGGAAACTTTGTTAAAAATCAAAATAATAATTAAGAAAAATACAGCTTAAAAGACCTGTAACTTATTTACTGATTCAGAAAGTGCAGCTCACAAGATGCCTACCGACGGCTCAGTTAATCAGAAAAGGCTTTTAGGTTATTTGGTACTGTATGTCTGCACTACTTAAGTTGAATTTTAAGACATTTTGAACAAAGTAATTAAAGATAAAAGCCTGATGGGGCCATTTTGTTTTCAGAGATCATTTAGAATCATTGCTTGCTGAATTAAACATTTTATCCCGGCTTTGATTTTCGGAGACTGCCTTTGGAAGAAGACAAAAAAAGACAATTCGAATATCTAATAAATAATGCCAGTTCAGCACACAATGGGTCTGTGCATCTATCAGCACGGTAGAAAAAGGGTAGAATTAGCAAAGATGGTAGGCATAGGCTACTGAATAATGACCCATGCTGCAAAACAATTTAGTGGTCTGAACCAGTGCTAGCTTATTAGTGTGTTGTACAGTGCAATACATTAAATGTTACCAAAGCCATTCTGTTGGCAGTGAAAACTCCATCCATTTTCAATAACCGCTTAGTCCAATACAGGGTCGCTTAGAGCCAGAGCCAAGCCTGGCAGACAGGGACAATCTCGAGACACCAACGAACCCACGCAGCGTGTCTTTGAACATTGGGAGGAACCTGCAGCACATGGAGAAAACCCACAAAGATAAGGGGTACCAGGCAGCTTCCATACAGCACGGGAACCCAGTCCAGAATCGAACCCCAGACCTAATACACAACGCTACCCGTCATGCCAAATGCATTGCACACTGCTAAATATTCTTCTGTTTTTCACGTTTTTGCACATGTATAGTTCTATTGCTGTCCCTGCAGGTGTTGTGTATATAGCATATTATATAGCTGTGTCTAGAAAAATGTGAGACTGAATTTAAAACCACTTCTGTTGTTTCTGGTTTTCGATAGTTACTTTATTAGATGTTTTCACAGGTCAGCCACTGACTTTCTCTTTTTAAAGCAATTGTTATGTCTGAATTAACTGAGAAAAGCATGAGGCTCCCGACCAAAAGGTCAAAGTGCACGGGAGGGCTTGGCGTTCTAGAGAGATTGTCCAGTTATACCACATTTACTGGAACACCCCGATGGAGACGACACTCTTCTCCTCTTGTTTTCTTTCTCTGTCTCATAAGTGGGCTGGCGATTGCGAGCTGCACATTTTGTTCAGTTTAGTGTAATGTGGGACAGGCATGAAGACAATCGTAAAACGTGTGAAACATTGAAAGATTGGAAACATGACTGGCTTCTGTGTATTGGAATACCCTTTCAAAGGTAAAGGGTAAAGGTCTCTCTGCCAGATAGCTGTATGTTCCCTGGCACAGTCAGCATCTAGATGATCTCACCTTCCTGGTGGTGTGGCTCAGCGTTCTGTTTTGGGCCTGATCATATTTTGTTACATGTTGACATGTCAGTGTACTGTAGATTAAAAACAAGGGTACCACACTTTATTTTTAATTCAGGTAAGACAAAGGCAGAGAGTGAAATAATTCTGAACTGAGACAATAATTTCTTACTGTACAGTATGTCCTTGAAGACACATTTTCCTAGCTTAAGGAGCTTCAGACATTTAATTTACTTTGGTCACAAAAACTAATTTTGCCATCTTCTTATTCAGATTGAAATGATATATTACATTTTTTTCTGGCACGCTAGGCCTAACCCTTTTTCTCTGTGGTGTGATAGCTTCGAAATAGGGTCCTTTCAGATGTGGCAGGGCCAGGGTAGGTGGTAGACAGGGATATACATTCATTAGGGAGAAAAAAAAAACTGCTGAAAGAGAAATTAAAACAGAGAATGAATTTAATGAGCATATAACATTGGAGCTCAGTTCCGGACCAGGACTCGGCCCAGTGACCCACTCCTGCAGAGAAAAGACTAAAATGGGAAAGTAAATACCTTGGAAGGCCTTGTTTCTGTTACTTGAGAAGAACAGCAATTTCATTTAAAACTGAAAAGTGTTGTTGCCTTGACATCAAGGTAGAAATGCTGCGAGTTTGTTATAAATTAACAGAGAACTTCCCTTCCCTTTTCCCCAACAAAGCTGCCATTTGTCTGAATAGCCCGCACTGAGCCCAGAGTTATATTTTCACAACTGCATCAGCATTCATTTGCAAATCATTCTGCACTTTTAATTCCCGGAGTTTGAAATACCTCTAGAACTAATAAAGAAAGCAAAGTAGAGCAAACATTTGGCTTTCATCCTCAGAGCTGCTCCAATTTCAACTTTTTTTCTTGTCTTGCTTTACTCTTCTCTGTAAGCCATTGATCTGAAAATCATTACGCACTGCACATCTCCTCAGCTTTTAGTATACTGGGCTCATCCTACAGAAGACACAGTTTTATTAACACTTAGCGTTATGTCTTGGGTCTTACTGACATTAAACTGGGAGCTTTTTGTCTTTCTTCTTAGAACTGCGTTGAGACCATATGCATTGTAGCTGCAGTGCTGGTAACTGTTTTGGAGTATTTTTTATTCACATGTCAATCTTTGTGATAATGCGGTTATATACTCCATTATTTTTGCTATAAATAGCTTATCATAAAAAGAAAATAATAGATGCAGTGAGGTTTACCAGCTCTGTCATGACAGTGAGCGAATGGTGGTTTGGTGTTTTGCAAAGCATGTCTTTAAAGCCAAACTGAAATACTTATATAGGTTCTGATATGCAATCAAAGAAGTGTTTAAGGAGGAGCACAGGATAAGGGAAAAGCTGTGGTTCTGTTTTGAAAGGACATTCGCTTCCATCTGATGACAATGAGATTGCATCAGATGGCCATGCTGTTTACCAAAGTCTAAGAATCATAGCAGAGCTCTGAAGGTCGGGAAACGCCAGGGCACACCTGAACCACAGAAGCTCTGTACCAGCCAGCAGGCTGCTTACCAGAGAGAACCCACCTCAAGCAAAAGAATTCAAATGAAACACGAGCCCTCTTTAAGCTAAGCCACCACTACTGCTGAGCTGAACTGCATAAGCTTACTAATCTGTGTTTGCATTTAATTGCTGCCTTTGAAGGCCCATATGTTTTAAACTCATTGCTGTTTAAGAGTTTACTATCACTTTGGTCTTGTAGTTATAGTTTCAAAATTCATAACGTATAGTTTCATAATTTCTTAAATGTTTTCTCATAAATGTACTCGTTTCTGGTATAATTTAAAATAAAGCAAAACCGATCATTTTGAAATTCAGTGTTATTTACTTCGAAATTCTAGGAATCATGCAAGAATACATTAAATAAGATACTGTGGAATTCTTTAAACTGCTCAGAATCTAAATAATATGTATTACTTAAAAAGGTACATTTTTCGCTCTTTCCCTTTAGCTTCACTTTAGCCCACCTGTCACGCAAAAATGATTAATTTTCTCATTGATTATGCAAAGCTAATTTGCTATATCTGAAATCAATAGTCTGTAGATTTTCATTTTCCTCTCAAAACAAACTTAATTGGATTTACTTAAACAGATGACAGTCTATTGTATTTATATCATTATTAAGGCTAAGACACAATGCTCTATTCTTCCATCCATCTATTAGCAGAAAGCAGTAGAATCCAGGGAAGGGTGATGTCACCTGGGAGTCTCCTTCACAAGGTGGGGCTTCATTCTCCACACAGGGACAAGGTAGAGGCTCCACAACCAACCTGCTTGTCTTTGAAATTCAGTAGGAAACTGGAGTACTTGGATAAAACCCACACAGGCCCAAAGAGAACATACAGACTCCACACAGAAGGAGCTTGCCTGGAGCCCAGAGCCCAACAGCTGTGATTCACTGTGCTTCCACAGAAAACCGCATGTATGTGGATATATATACATAGTCTATTGTTTAAAAAATGAGCTAGACTAACCTGTCCAGACAAGCAGGCAGAGAATATATTAAATTAAATGCCGTGATAATAAACACTCACAAACACTGTGGCTCACTGGTAGTATCTTTCACCTCTGCTCCCTAAAATGCATCATTTTTTGCCATTTTAAAACCAGAACAGAAGGAGTTAAGCACTGAAAGATCTACTCCTACAATTTTCTTCCCTCCGTATATCTCTTATAAGTCTTTGTAATCACCTGGTAAGAGATTACTGGTTGTGAGGTTTAAGTTCATTCCTTGCTCTGACTGTCCACTGATTGTGATTCAGGGCTCCTAGTTCTAGCCATCATTACTTTGTAATAAGGCATCCATATGGTGTTAATGTTGAGCTCGTGCAAATCCTCCAGCTTAGTGCTGCATACCCTGGTAAAGAAGGTCATGAGTAAATGCTGACTTTAGCATGTGTTTCGTTCTCTCTCCCTTTTGTTGATCTTTATCGCAGAGTGTTCGGCAGCTGCCAGGAGAGCTGAGAGCTCAGAGGCCAGGGGAATCTCCAGGCTTGCAGAGTGGTTGCGATGCTGGAGCAGTGTGGGGAGACAGAGACTGGCAGCTCGCAGGCATTCAGAAACAAGTGCAACAATCTCAGCTTGAGTCCTGTATGGGAAACGCACCGGACACACTTGGATCTGCTGTACAATGTCCCAGCGCCCTTAAATTCGCTTCCTACTTGCCACTATACTCAAGCAGCTTGTGTTGAATTATCTTTAGATGTTAGTCTGAAGGCCCCTTAGAAATGAATGTAATTTCAGTCAAAAATCTTTTTTTCTTATGTGCAGCTTTCTGAAAAACACTGCAAAATTATATTTAAAGAAAAATTACTATCTGAGCCAGCTTGGCTATTATTAGAAATGATTATTCTAATAGATCCTCAAATATTTCTGGACTTGTAACTGGATAGGGGGGCAGGTTTGAATCCCAGTGGAGATATTGCCTCAGCCAGATAAATAAGTAGTTAATTAATCATTCTAAAATGATTCGCTTCTTAAGGAGTCAGTAAGAGCTTAACTTCATTGCAAGTTTTTGCCGTAGCTCTTTGGTCTTCAAAGATTACAGAATACGAATGAATCAGTCAATGTGAGGACTGGATTTTCTAAAACCCCCAGTCTGCAGTCTGCAGGAATTCCATGTGGGTGTTCCGTTACAGAGTGTTACTTGCATGAACCACATTCTGATTGAGTCTTGTCTCAGCGCCTACTACACACAGAAATCGCAGAGGAATCAAGGAAAATAGAAAATGTAAAAAACCCAAATTGTGATCTAAACAGGAAACTAAATTACAGTGTTTCAGCAACCTGTGGGCAAAAGGTCAGTGGAGATTGCTGGTGATTACCCTGTGGTGTGTGCTGCAGACATGTGTGTCAGTCTTAATAGTGTCTTTCAGGAACAGGCCACAGCTACCTCCCTCCAGGTCCTGGCCACACCCTGCGCTGCTCAGTACCCTGCCTTCACCTCTGGAGACTCTCCCTCACCCACAGGTGCATGAACCCATTGACTGATCGTCAAGGAGTCAGCCATGACACATCCAGTGTTCAATGTAGTAGACTTCGCCACATCTTCTACCACACAGTAGCTGCACAAGAATAAAAGACTATGAATAAGGTGGGGTGAGTTACATCTTAGTCCTGAGTTGCAGTTTTTTGGTGTAGTTTTTTGCCCAAGGCAACATACAATTCCCAATGCAAATGCCTTTTACAGTATAGAAGTGCATAGTATACTGGCATAGATCAATGCAAAAAAGTTAGCAGAATATTAAGCAGAGCAGCAACTTGTAGGATTAAGTCAGTGCCATATGATTGACATTATTGTTACTGCGCACCCTGATCTCATCATATGTCAGGAGCTCAGTAAGGCGGCACTGCACAGTTCTGGGATAGGAGACCTCTAAGGAAAACCAGGGGGTGGGCCAGTGGGTGGTGCTCTTCTGAACTGATGCCCCAGTGTGGTGACAGGAGAAACTGTGTTGTAGAAGATGCTGAGTGGTGGATGAAATGATAATGATCTGTGTGGTCATTAAAGATCGTTACAGTACAACACGGGTGTTAACCCCGCATTTCTGAGTTTGCACAGCTGGCCTCCTTCGATTCCCTCCTTAATTCAGCTGGTGAATCACCTGCTTTGCCTTATCTGCTGTGTACACTGCTGGCAAAGTGCAGGTAGGTGCTGCGCTTCAGGTATGGACCAAGTCCAAACATGTGCTTTTACTCATATATGCAAAAGCAGATTTGAGATCCTTTGCGATCCAATAATTGTGACACAGATATAAGCTATTAGTATTGCCGATACAGGTGCTGGAGTTGTTGTTGTCATAAACTACACAGCGAAGGAAAAATAAAGAGAAAGATGTATTAAGGGCAAAAGAAGAGGTCAGTGTGGCAGTGCAGGTTACATCGCTTGTGGGATCAAGACAGGGAAACAGACTCTAAATCTGTCCCAGTGGGACCCAAGGCAGTGACCCACTTAGCCCATATAGCACCAGTAGATTCTGGATTTTTAAATATGAACAATTCAGAATTAAATATGTTGATGGTTCATGGTTCTGTTGTACTGTAGGTGTTGCTAATCATATTTGATAAATTTGTGAATAGTTGCATGAAGATCTTTATTATTGTACTGTATTTGGACCCAGAACTGAGTTAAAATGATTTCAATTTAAAATTAAGACATCACTGGGAAATTATCTGCACGCTCTGTACTGTATTATCTGTTTGCCCACCCTAAAATGATCTGGTTCTCTCTCGTAATGACCGCTTGCCTCTCTGTTTGTAGGTCACTCTGGGCTGAAAAACACTGTTTGCAGCAAACACAAAACTACAACAACTGGTTGTGGTCGACAGACCACAGAAAAAACGCAGGAAGAACTCGGCAGTTTCCTGCTGAAGTTTTCTGTGGGTTTTTTTTTTTGCCTTTGCAAATGCTTTCAAACTAAACACTAGTCACAGCTCAGCCAGGTCCTGCAGCCTGCGCTCCTAATTACAGAGTGAGTGTAATTACAAGATCTGAGGGAGAGAGGAGAAGAAATCCATATATTGTAAATTTAGATGGCTGCTCTTAATGATACCTGGGTTTCAGCAGCTGAGAAGTGCAAATAATCCCATCAAAGAGAACAATACCTCCACACCTGCCTGTTCCTTCCTCCCATCACTTTAATATTTCCTTCCCGCTGACTTTCCTCCCCGTCTCAGCCTTTACATCCAATTAAACACTTCATCCTCTCATATTCAGAGTGTGCTAGAACACAGAACTAGAACATAGCATGTTCACGCAAATGTCTATATACAGAGCTACATTCTAACAACAGACGGATTATTATTATTATTATTATTATTATTATTATTATTCACATCATTGGTTCTTCGAATAGATGGAAAAGCGCCTCTACCATATTCTTCTTTGTGCAGCTCTCGATGTACCTCGGCGCTGGCTCGGGTGCGCTGACATGTCGCATGTGTGCCAGTGTGCAGGCACAGGCCCCCGGTACGGGTGAATCTGCTGACCCGGGAGCTCGTGGGGTCCTTGTGCCTCGGCTGGCCGGCAGCGCGTGTCCCCGCTCGGCCGCAGTGCCCACGTTCTCAGCGTGAGGTCCCCCTGGGTGCGAGGGCCCCACACCGGACCCGCAGGCAGAGAGCGCTGCACCTTTTCAACAAGACGATCTCTTGTCACAGCCCCAGGAACAGAGAGCGAGCCTCCCAAATTACAGTATTGTCTTTTAAGTCGGTAAATCTCTAATAATAATGTTTCATAATTGTACATGTTGTTACTAATTGTTATTGCTTTGGCAACATTGTAATTCATCGGTCCTGCCAATAAAGATCGCTGGATTTGAATCTGAGCCCCAGAAAATAAGGGCCCACACTGTTCCAAAGTTTTTTTTTTTCATTTTGGATTATTTGAGAAGTGTATGGTTTTGTTAATTAAATCTTTACTTTGTGTTATGCTTTATGCTCCCCAGCTAGTCTGTAAGAGGTACACTGTTAAATATTCCCAAGAACAATCAAAGAAATAAACGATAGGTATCAAGTAATCCTAAACTCAAGGCCATCTATTCTTTCACACACAGTAGCTCTGATTTGTTCTTTCAAACATGAAATAATGAAAGGTTTTCTTGAGAGCTGTCTGGTTCAAGTCCCTCCCCCTTATCAACACATTCATGGGAGGAATGCTTTATTTTGCTGGCTAATACATGATAAAGGAAAGATTGGCCTCCTCTTCTGCGCACAATGCGAATTTTAGCATGTTGCTAGGAAAGTGTTTCAAACTGTCTGAAGTACGGAATGGATGGGAATGCGAGCCTGTGCTCCAACAGTCACAGCCCGACCACGACAAGAGTACCTGGTTTTTATTAACTCGTTCAAGGGTTTGGGAAGTTCTTGTGTTTTTAACAGGCAACTGGTTCTCCTCTTCTTAATTAACCCCTGTATTGCCCCCACACGAGTCGCGCCGCGCTGAAGCCAACCCGCCTCAGTCCGGGATCCGAGTGAACAAACCTTGTCCCTCTTTTGTGTTTTCATTTGGTTAAATCTCTTACTTAATGTGAAGTAAGAAAACGCGAAGCGAGACTGCCAATTAAGTAATGACATTCGCTCCTGTCCAAACTTCATACAATTAGATACGTGTGTTTTATATTTTGGCTTGCATGGGTGATGAATTGACTCGAGATTGAGAAGACGGGGAAAAAGACGGGTTTGGGCCACAACTTTCCGTCAGAAGTGCAAAGCATTTGTGAAGCTTATAGTGATGAGCAGTTTCTCGTGTGTAGAGCCGCAAAATGTTTATACGGGTGGTGACAATCCAGGCTTCATCTGGTCACGAATCTGCAGGTTAAATTTTACTTCTTTGTCCCGAGTGCTTATTTTATAAGATTTGAAGTAATTAAGTATAACTAAATTATAGTAATGACTCGTATTTATATAGCGCCTTTAATTCCAACGATCTTCACCTGCGCAAGAGAGAAAGCACAGAGGTGGAGCTCCCCACTGGACACGCAAAAACATTACGGGTCTAAGGCCGGTGTCTTTAAACTAGGGAACTCTTGCTTTTCTTTGAAATCTTCGAAATTCAGTTGTACGGTTCTTGGGGTGCTTGTTTTACTTCATGAAAGACGTGGCAGAAGTCATTACGTCCGCGCACTCATTTTTGTGCGCCGCGTTATATTGACTTCAATTTTTACGCCTTTTTTTTTCCTGTTTGAAGTCCAGCCCTACTGTCATTTCCTCCTCTTCATGTTTATTGCATGTAACACATGTAATTAAGCGGAAACCAGACTCCCCCCCCCCTCCTCCAAAAAAAAATCCATTGCAACGATCTTCAAAACTCATAAAAGATAAAATTCCAACCTTGCATTCACTAAACTTTTATCCAGCAAGCACTGCCTTTGTAGCTTGCAGTGGTTATACGCCGTTTTCTGTCCCTCCTGTAGAAGCTGGGAAACGTACGATTTTTACATCTTTATTTTTGATCTTGACTGAAGGACCATTTCTTTACAGTACAATAATGAGACCTCTCCAGTCAGCTCCTGCTAACAATTAACCTCAAAGCCCATGTGCTACAGAAACACTCTGACCGTCCCACAACGCCCCATCAAGGATTATTTTAGTTTCTAAGTTTTCCTTAACCGTGTTTCTGCCAAGGTGAAGCGCTTGCCTTGACATTTCTGTGCCGTGCCGTGTGGCAGTTTCACAGCAGCGCGGAACAGCCCTGGCGTGACCCTGCTGGATTTCGAGCGGATGTAGCTGACCGGAACACTGTTAATATTCAATGTAATAATTGCCCAACCCCTTGATTTCCAGCGCGTCTCGGGTATGATTAATGAATGACTCGCCATGAACTCTGGCACATTAATTTCATCGCTCTATGAATTTACAGCCATGACCTGAAGCGAAAAGAACTTCCTCGTGTTTTGTTAACGAAAAAAAAAAGTTGAAGCAGATGTATTAAGGGGAATAGGGCTGTGTGTCACAGCTGGAGCTGGGATCTTTTTAGATTTTATGGCCTAGCGCTGGAGGTTTGAGACGTGTGTCTGGAATAAGGTTCCAGTGAGGGATCAAGTCAAACAGAACAGTTTCCAGTCTCTTACGCGCAGGTACATCGTTCCTGCCCTCGGAGAGAAACCCAGGGTGCAGGCTCCATGTCTGTAGGTGGAATACAAGGAAAGTTTCAATTACAAACCTGTTCATTCTTCTCACAAATATTAATCTACTTAATTTAAAGGAGCTGTGTGGAAAGGACAGATGCGTGTGGGTTAGTCTTGAAAACACCTGACGTTGTCATCATTGTGTAACTTGAAGTGTAACTTCAGGCTGCTTACATTATTTGATTCTGGCATATCTTGTGTTTCATCTGGGAATATTTCTGTCATGGTGACAATTGTAGTTGCTGTTTCTCTCTGTTTTTCAGTCCCAATGCATTGTATCATTGCAAACATCTTTCAACAGTACAGCAGGTTGCACGTCTCCCTGTAGCCTCGGGGGTGGAGATTTTAAGGTAGCCCTACGGACCAGTGCACAAGGGTTTTCTCTGGGCTGTAGATCAGAACCCCTCTAGGGAAACACAGTGCTACTGTTGCGGAGCTCAGACTCAGCCGAAGAGGGCATTCACTGTTTCTTTGCCCATTGTGTGTGGCTCAGCGGTGTAGCCGGAACATCGACAAGTGAGATCCTCTTGTGTCGCGGGTGACAGTCTGTGCTGTTCTAACAGATGTTTGCTGTGCTAGATTTTTTTTACCGTTTTCTCTGTTTTTCCACAATGCCACCAGCCAAGTCAGGTTTCCAAATATGGCATTCTAATCCCAAAACGTCACACTGTGAGCTTCAAGCACTGCTCAGTGACCGTTTTAAGTGTTCACTGGCATATGTGTTCAATGGACCACTCTTGTTTCTCTAGATAAGCTTGTTTCTGGCCGTTCTCTGTATTCAAAAGTTTGTGCTTGTGGCTGGAAATAATCTGGTTTTGCTGGACTCCCCGAGAAAGGTAACATGTGGATGCAAGAAAGCATTCATTTTTTTAAAAAAAAGGATATAAACCCTGGAAAACCATAACTGACCCTTCATTAGTCAATTTATTCTTTGCATGTGTACAGCTGGAAATTAATGGGAACTCAATTCAGAATTCTGACTCTGATCAGCTATCAGTGTTGCAAAGGTTTAAAAAAAGGAGAATTTAAGCAAAGGAATGAAACGTGCCTCTTCTCTCCCTTGATGCAAAGGACATCCTGATTTGTGTGCATGCAGTAACGGAAGGCTTTTATTCCTGCAAAACTCCCCCCCCCCACACACACACACACACACACACACACACACACACACCTCCCTCCCCTGTTTTTATCTCCTGCTTTCTTCTCTTCTCCCTGATCCACAAGAGATGTTGTTGAGTCACGTCGTTTCAAAACAAGTGCCCACACTCTGGACCCTACACCTCTCATTTATATAAACAGAAAAAAAAGTTATGATGTTTTTCCCAATATGTCCTGAACTATTTGTACCACGAAATATTAATCTATAACTAAACTGTGCTCCCACTGCTGCCCCGAGTGGCTGTCTGGAACGAGCCCAGCTCCATTATCTGCTCTCCTTCTTCGTATGCGCTGATTTATTTAAACACTCTGCTCTTGGCTGGTTTCTCACTGTGACTTCATTGTAAACTCCTGTGTGAAAGTATGAGCATTTGGAGGGCTTTGACAGTGGGAATATTTTAACTCATTTACTGTGCGATAGTGGCTAACTGTGTATATATACACACTCAAAAACAGCACTATAACTTAATGGTCACACTCCTGAGCTGATGGCGTCAGGCTGTGGTGTTCTGGGCTTGGCTGAGAGAAGCAAAAAAAAAAGTTTTTAATGCCCTGCTGTAAAAAAGACAGACTGCAAACATGCATCTGAGATGCACATCAATTCTTGAAGGCACAGGGTTAAGAGATCTGTTCTGGTCATTAGTCCAGAGAGTAACATACCTTCAGTAGGTCCTCTCTATCTTTTTGATGTGAGCTCAGTTCATAAAGATTTCTTTTGGGTGGAAAACGTATCGGGGACATACAGTTTATGTGAACTGCTGTGTTTTATTGTACACTTTCTGCTTATTCGGGGATGTAAGCACCAGCTCAGTGAAAACAGGTGTTTCAAGCATGTGCAGAGGACAGGGTGATGGAAACTCTGAGCATTTCTGGATATTCTCATGTCCTGCGTTAATTGGACTGGAATACAAATACCCTCTGACCTTGATGTCTATGTACATCATATTACATAACACATAAAAGCAAATTGCGTAAAGAATTGTTTAAAGCAAATTTTGCGGCTTTGCTCATTGTAATGCATGTTGCAATGGTGTGCACTGTGATCAGAAATTCCATGCAATACTGCTTGAAATGTATGTACTTGAAATGGATATGTGGCTATAAATCCCACTCTATTTAGGACATACTTAATGCATCTGCTGTAGATACTGTGTGTATTTTGTGTATTTTGTTTTTTTTTTGTGGTTTGGAGGTCACTAAATGTGAGGAGCTGTTTTAGGAAGCCATGATTGGGAGTGTGATTTATTAAAGCAGGGCTGATAAGGACAGCAGGAGGTGGCATATAGCAAAAGTAAAGATGGACTTCATTAACAACAAAAAAAAGAAGCTTAATCAGATTATTCGGAGAGTTGGTTGGAAATATGATACAGTTTATTGCCCAGACCAGTATGGCAGGGTGTGAAGACGATGGCCGTAACCTAATAGCTCCAAACGTTGTCAGGCATGTGAATAGGTCATGTGTTGACTGCTTCTAATTCTTGTAATATTCCTCCGCTCCAAATGGCAATACTCTTCTTTTTTGTGATCGCAGGCTCTTTTTCAGAATAAACAGACCTTTTTTTCTTACTCTTTTAATTACCCTGTATTTTTTTTTTTGGAGTTAAAGTATCTCCTTCAGTCCTCCGAGTCTGTGTCTTGCCATGTGTCTCTCTGCTGAATAAAACTTTATTATTATAAGATCTTACCGGGTGTGGAGGGGAAGAGGAGGAGGAGGAGGAGGAGGGGGGTCATGGTCAATTGAATTAACCTCCTTTTTTGTATATCGAAGGGAACCTGGGGGGGAGAGGAGGGGTGAAAAAAGTCCCCTTCATTTG